ATCCAAGATCACAAAGTCAGCTGGTAAGATAAATTTATCCACCCAGACAAGCACATCATCAATAATACCCAATGGTCTCTTCATCGTTCTATCCACCATTTGAAATCTCATGGAAGTCAGCCTCGGTTGCCCAATACCCAAAGTTTTGAAAATTGAGTAGGGCATCAAGTTGATACTAGCCCCCAAATCACATAGAGCCTTAGCAAAATCCGCACTCCCAATGGTTCACGGAATGGTGAAAGCACCGGGATCTTCAAGCTTCGGGGCTATTGAATACACTATTGCACTAACTTGGTGGGTCATCTTTATAGTTTCAAAATCCATGGACCATTTATTTGTCACCAAATTCTTCATGAACTTTGCATAGCCCGACATTTGTTCAGGAGCCTCAACCTAAGGCACATTAATGGATAAGCTCTTCATCATGTCAATGAACTTTTTAAACTGATTCTTATTTTTCTGCTTCGCGAGTCTTTGAGGATAAGGTGGAGGTGGCCTTGGCAAAGGAGCCTTGGCTTTAGGCACAACCGACTCCAGCATGTCTATTACATGTTCCCTAAACGGGTTCACGTCATTTCGTGTTTCCACCTCGGCATCTTGAATATCATTCCTCACTTCTTCATTCACATTGTCATCAATCACATTTGCAACTCAACATCATCACTCAAATTTTGTCTTTGCTTGGAGGCATTCACATCACCGCCTCGTCCACCACTTGTAGTTACCACCATAATATGATTGTTTCCACCTTTCGGGTTTACTATCGTATCACTTGGTAGAGCACCCTTAAGGCGAGTATTCAAGGACTGTGAGATTTGGCCTAGCTACACCTCCAAATTTCTAATGGAAGTATTGTGAGAAGACAACTGAGCATCCAAATCCACACTCTTTTTTATCATTTGTTCGAACATCATTTTAATTATCCCCATATCATTGTTAGAAGAACTTGGACCTTGGAATGGAAATGGAGGCGGATTGTTCGGTTGTTGGTACATTGGGGGACTTTGAAAGCCTTGCCCCCGGTTTCCTTGGTTGACATTGTTCCATCCACCTTGATTGTTATTACCACCCCAATTGTTGTTGTTACCATTCCAATTTCCTTGATTGTTTTGATTGTTGTTCTGATTACTCCAGTTGTTGTTTTGATTGTTGCTTCCCCAATTACCATTGCCTTATTGTTGTTGATTGCCCCAATTGCCTTGGGCTCTCCATTGTTGTTGGTTGAAAGAATTGCCCCTTTGGCCTTGATAATTGTTCACGTATTGCACCTCTTCATTCTGCCCATCGTAACTATCATCTTGGAATCCACCACAATCATTGTCAAATTGCTCCAAATTCCCTTGATTCTGTTGACCCCTTTGTCTTCTTTTGTTGACAAGCATATTGACACCCTCCATAAGATTCACTTGGCGAGGATTTTGAACTTGTTGCAACTATGCCTTTGCTAGTTAGTTCATAGTAGTTGTCAACTCAGCTATAGCCTTCCCTTGATCATGAAATTCCTTGTGCAAATGAGTGACCGTGGAATCACCCTAGGGCACATTGGCTCTACTTTTCCAAGCAGAAAAAGTGTCAGCCATCTCGTCAAGAATGTCACAAGCCTCATCATAAGACAGCTTCATAAATTTGGCCCCAGCAAGTTGGTTCACTATGCACTGCTTTATTGTGTTAATGCCCCGGTAGAATGTCTGTTGGATCATCGCTTCAGTCATATCATTGTTGGGGCATTCCTTCACCATTGTTCTATAACGCTCCCATGTCACGACCCAAAATCCCTCCGAAAGAGTCGTGATGGCACCTAGTCTCTAAACTAGGTAAGCCTAACATTTACAAATATAACATTGATCTTCACTATCTTCAAATTACATAACTCTGAACAATTACAATTTCCAAAACCGATAGTACAAGTCATAAGCTATACAGAGTTTACTACAACTTCTAAATACAATTGTTTGAAGATAAGTAAAACAGTGTGGATATGAAATAGGAAGGTGACTTCGAAGTCTGCAAACGCAACAACAGGTTTACCTTGAATCTCCTCAGCAACGACCCGCACAGCTACTAACGAGCAATATCTGGATTTGTACAAAAAATGTACAGAAGTGTAGTATGAGCACACCACAGCGGTGCCCAGTAACTATAAAGACTAGCCTCAGTGTAGTAGTGACGGGGAACAACCATGACACCGTGGTCTAATAAACTAAAAAGGGTGAGTATAAGAACAACAGGATATGGTGTCTACATATAAAGACTACGCAGTATGGCTAACAGTACAATAATTACAATAAGGAATGAAAACAACAAGTAGCAATGGAACATTTTAATAAGGACACAGAAGGATGGACAGAATCATAGCTCAAATCCGAATATTTCAATACTGTAAGGGCAATTAGTAACTCAGCACTGCAATAATCTCCACGTCAGGCCTTAGCCAACAACCCCAATATTTTTGTCAAATTCTTCAAGTATAAACTTTCACCCGTAAATTTCTACAGTGAAATCTTTAAAATATAATCCTTTCCAATTGAGAAAAATTCTTTAAAAAAAATACTTATTTTGAATATAAACTTTTCAACTAAATGTTCTTCAAACATAATTCTTTCAAGATAGTTACTTTTTAAATATGCTCTTTAAATAAATGTCTTTCAAACATAATTTCTTCAAGATGAATGCTTTTCAAATACAACTTCTTATGTAAATATCCTTCAAGTATAGGTCACTTTTTGACACCTAAGTATAGAAGATTAACAACTCCGAACACAAATATATCAACAGGGGAATCTACCAGGTCACATCTCGTAGCTCGAATTCATTATACAATACAAGGGGATCTCGCGAAATACATCTGTATTCCGAAAATAAACATGCAAAGAATTTCCCGAAATATCGTCCCGTAGTTCAAGTCATAAATGTGCAGGGGGATCTCCCAAAATACAAATACGTAGTCCCAAAGTAAATATTCAGTACAGGAGAATCTATCGGGTGTTGTCCCGTAGTCCCAATCATAAATGTGCAGGGGGATCTCCCGGAATACCAATTCGTAGTCCCAAATATAAATACCTAGTACTGGGGGAATCTACCGGGTGAATTCTCGTAGTTCCAATCATAAATGTGCAGGGGGATCTCCCGGAATACCAAATCCGTAGTCCCAAAGTAAACATGCAGGGGAATCTCCCGGGATATCGTCCCGTAGTCCCAAAGAAAATACACAGCGCAACCAACAGAATCAACAATTACATTACAACATAAAGATCGAACATCCCCACATTACATATAACAACTACAATGACAATAATACAAAAGGTAAGACAAATAAATCAACTCAAGGACTGTAAATCAGAAGGGACCGGCAGAACGAGCTCACAAGGAATAACCACATAAAAGAATACTGGCATAAAGGGAACAGTTCAACAACGGGAAAACTAACACGTAGCAAACAATCCCACAATATAAAAGTCAGTAATAAGAACCTCAAAACGAGTCAAGTCGCCCCAAATAAAGGCAAGTCAATCGGGATATAGATTATCTAAACCCCCTTTTTTTAAGGTTGGAAAATTACAAGGATATTCAACAATTCAATTTGGGAAAAATGATCTTAGCTTCACGTAAGACTAAATATTTTTCAGGAGGGATAATAATAATTCTCAAATAAGACAAGCAGTTATGAAAATATAACATGACAATAGGAGAGGCAAAACTCTTCAGTTAAATCAAATAGGAGTCAATTAGGCAATAAGAGTGAATCATGAAGCAATTAATTCCAATTAAGCATGTAGAGATGAAACTAGTAAATAGGAAATCAACCATATCAAGAACACGTTCATACACAACGAATGTAAAGACCTAAGAACCCTAAAAGGCCAATTTCCCACAAATAAGTCCGAGTACGCACTCGTCACCTCGCGTACACGAACTACAATAAACATATAAGACTCAAATCCTAAGGGGAAGTCCCCACACAAGGTTAGNTGTACTCGTCACCTCGCGTACACGAACTACAATCAACATATAAGACTCAAATCCTAAGGGGAAGTCCCCCACACAAGGTTAGGCAAGATACATACCTTTTTGAAGTTAGACCGATATTCCAAAATAGCCTCCTTGCTTGAATTGACATCAGAATAGCTCAAATCTATCCAAATTAATTGTATAACTTCATTAAAATTCATCGGAAACAATTTCGGATAATATAACGTCGGCTTAAAAATTTAATTATAAAAAGTCAACCAAAAGTTAATGCGGGACTCGCCTCTCGGAACCTGACATAATTTTTTTTTCATGAAATCCGAACTCCCATTCTGATACGAGTTCAACCATATGAATTTTATCAAATTCCGATAACAACTCGACCTCCAAATCTTAAATTTTTGTTTTTGGAAGATTTTGCAAAAATCTTGATTTCTTCCATCTAAATCCGTATTGAATGATGAAAATAACCATGGATTTATGAAATAAAAATATATTCGAGTATAAGACACTTAATTTAGTCTAAATCATAAAGAAAACCTTAAAATCGCCCAAGAACCAAGCTCCAAAAATCCCAAAATGAAAATGGCGAAATGACAATTTTTGGCTCTTAATGTTTCTGCCCAGTTCCGCTTCTGTGGAAGAATTTGTCGTATCCACGGACTGGCTTTTGCGAAATAAAACACGCTCCTACGAAGGCCACTGCCAGTTGAAGTATCGCACCTGTGAGAATCGCAGGTGCGACCATTTACATGTTGCTGCGTCTCCATAGTGCACTGCCCAACAGCCATTAATCTTCCTCATTTCTCATTCTCGTAAGTTTAGTGTGATGCAACTCTTTTTATTCTTCATAGTAGAGCCTAATTATTGACATTTAATTCTCACATTTGCAGCTGTGTATACGTTTACTCAACAAAATCTTCCGGCATGTAAACTTGCCCTGACACCAGCATGGGTAATTAAAATAGAAGTGCCGAAGATATTTCGCATCTGCGTCCCAGTGATCGCACCTGCGATGTCGCAGGTGCGTAAAAATGTTCGCTTCTGCGATGAGCTGCCAGCCTTCCCAATCTCGCTTCTGTGATGCTTATCTCGCTTTTGCGAGGTCGCATCTGCGCCCACAATTCCGCAGGTGCGATTCTAACAGCTGCTGCCCAGGAACAGTAGAAATTTCAGCAACTCTTCCAGCCCAAAAATCAACCTCGTTAACCTTCCAAAATCCACCCGAGGCCCTCGAGACTTTAACCAAATATACCAACATGTTCCATAATACAATACGAACTTACTCGAGGCTTTAAACCACATTAAACAACACTAAAATTTTGAATCGCGCCTTGAATCGAATTATGAGTTTTCAAATCTTCTAACTTCTATATTATGCGTCGAAACATATCGAATCAATCCGGAATGACTTCAAATTTTGCACGCAAGTCATAAATGACGTAACAGAGCTGTTCCAATTTTTTAGAATCAAAATATGACTTTGTTATCAAAATTTCAACCTTCTGTCGAATTTTTCCAAAATCTCATATTTTCCAACTTTCGCCAAAATGCGTCGAATTGTCCTACGGACTTCCAAATCCAAATCTGAGCATACGCCTAAGTCCAAAATCATCATACAAAGCTATTAACATCATCAAATCTCCATTCCGAGGCCGTTTGCTCAAAAGTGAACTCTCTGGTCAACTCTTTCTATTTAAGCTTCAAAATGAGAATTTTTTTCTTTAAATTTAATTCCGACTCTTCCGAGAACTAAAATCGACCACACACGCGAGTCAATACATATTACGAAGATGCTCAAGACCTTTAGTAGTTGAACAAGGCGTAAATTCTTAAAAACGACAAGTCGAGTTGTTACATCCCAAATCTCATGCAAAGTTTTGGTGGGCTCCTACTTGAAAACCAAGATCTCATCTCTCAATGCTTCCATATGCCCCACTGAGAAAATTTTTGCAATGAACTTGTCCGCCAACTCATCCCAAGTAGTGATGGAATGGTTGGGAAGTCGCTCAAGCCAATCCAATGCCCTCCCTGTAAGAGAATATGGGAAGAGCCTCAACCGAAGAGCATCCTCGGACACATTTGTTTTCTTGCTTCCCCAATAGGTATCCACGAACCCCTTGAGATGTTTGTAAGCATTTTGATTTGTAGCACCCGTGAAATACCCATGCTGCTCCAGCAATGTCAGCATCACATTGGTAATTTGCCCGCCCAGATCCGGGGTGGGACAATTGCACTTGCATAACCTTGGTTTGGAAGCACTTGAGGAGCCACTCTTGGAGGTGGCGAAGGAGCGTCTGGAATATTGTCATCGGCATTAGCATTGGCCTGGCGGCCTCTACGTTGTCCTTGAGGTATAAGAGGCACCTCATCATTTCCAATGTCATCTACCTCCTCCCCTGCAATCACATTTCTGAGAGGGTCATTAGCATTTGCTGTCATTTTGTACCTGAAGTTGTGACACAAACAAATAAGTAACACAGATGGAAAGAAGAACAATACACAAAACTATTTAGATAGATAGTCAAAACCGTTAGCTCCCCGGCAACGGCACCAAAAAGGTGATCGAGGCCAACACTGCACTACTATTAAGTAGCGAGAGAGGTTGAAGCGGCTTTTACCCGATTAAGGTCGGGATCGATTTCCATAGGGAGCTAGATATTAGAGTTGAGTGTCTATCTAAATGAGAGTTGAGTATTTATTCGTAATTTCACTTCTACACATTTTTGGTTTGATTATAATTCTAATTTTATACTACTACAATGCTAAATTAAGCTAAATAAGGCTAAGGTGAAACTATTGCGAGTTTTTCAAATAGGTAAAAGCACTAGGGTAGTGACTTTCGCCTAGGTGGTAAATTGACGGATTCTCGAGTCTAAAGCTAGATTGTCACATTTGTGGAGTATGATATAAACATTGCACGATTCTACTCACTCTATAACCCTCTATAGTTCGAGTGATTTTGCCCGAATTGACTTTCTCAAGACCAATTAGGTTTACAAATTTGTGCAAGCAATCAAGGTTCAAGTCGGGTATTACTATCTCTAGGTTTAACCCTTTAATTGGGGCTATCAATCTCTTGAATACGCCCCATTTCCTTGTTGGACTAATTTCATGGACTTAGGCTCTCTTTCCCAAGAAGAGCCAAAGTCTACTAGGCATAAACTAGTGTTTGCAACCACTAGTTCCACATTAAAACCCTAAATTAGCCCAAATATCAAACACCCATAGACAATCAAGCATCAAAACACAAGACTTATCAATTACCCACACAAGGGTTGAGCCATAACCCTAGCTAATGGGTTTAGCTACTCATATTTGAAGAAGAAAACAAAGTAATAGATGAAGAAAAGCTATAATAATTAATTGCTAAATAAAACATGAAGATTCAATGTTTAATCTAAGCTAAAATTACTCAAAATGGTAAAACAATACTGTTCACGAGCACAACTTTCATCCAAAATATATATGATGACCTAAAAACGAGAAAAGAATCTATTTATACTAAGCTGAAAATTTTGGACAAAAATACCCCTGCGGGGCTAGTGCGGACCACACAAAATCGAGTGCGGCCGCACTAAGGCTCTCTGAAGTTGGGCTTTAGGGACCGCACAAAGTTGAGTGCAGCCGCGTTGGCATCTATTGCGGTCCGCACACAAAGGACCGGGGACCGCATTGGGCTTCATCCTCCAATCTAGCATCTCTATAAACTTTAGCTCTGCGGACCGCACGAAATCGAGTGCGGGAGCAGTGAACCCAATGTGGACCGCACAAAACCCTTTGCATCTGCATTGCCTTATGGCCTGAAAAGCATCCTCTCTGAACTTCAGTTGTGCGGACCGCAAAGAATGGTGTGCGGCTGCACTGGCCTTGTTTAACTAAGCTTGGTCTTGTCTTGGTAGTTGTGCAAGTTTCACTCCTTTTTGAAATGGTTTTTGACATCTTGTCACCTTGTTGATCAAACCTGCAATCAAGCACAACTTGTGAGCCTTTGGGACTATTTTGTCCACATTTCTAATCAAAACTTAAGCAAGAAGGAGTGTAAAATGCATCATAATTCCTAGTTATTAATCAGCTGGTATATGATGATGATGTTTGCCAAAGTGGCTGAAATATGATTCAAGCGGTGTTATATGTGCGTATATATATATATATATATATGTATATGTATATGGGATATGGGAAGAGGTTATGGCGTTATATACGCAACACCACCTGATCAGCTGGTATACGTTAATGATTTTGCCCACAGTGGTCGTATGATATGATGGGATGCCCTCAAAGGCTGATGATGTTATGAGACATGTACCTATGCACGACACGATATTCATACGCATATGCATGACGCTAAAAGTTTTCATGATTTATAGAGTTATTTAGACTTACAGGTTGAGTCAAGTACTCTATATTTCTTCCATGTCTGTTATGTACTTATATGTGCCTTACATACTTGGTACATTTTTTGTACTACCGTCCCTTTTGCGTGGGGACACTGCGTTTCATGCCAGCAGCGATAGACAAGTCGAGAGACCTCCAATTAGGCTATCATCTCAGTGGAAGATATTGGTGCGCTCCATTTGCTTCGGTGTTGCTTGTTTGGCTGGTATGATTTAGACATGTATTATTTGGTATGGCGGGACTCTGTCCCGACCTTTATGACATTTATGTACTCTTAGAGGCTTGTAGACATATGTCGTGTACGTGAAAGATTGTATGGTCTTATCGGCCGATGTCTTGAGTTTATAAATAATCATGTTGGCCTATGAGGCATGTATGTTATGTGTGTATGATAATGTAATAACAAAGATACGTTACGTTGGTACGCGGTTGAGTAAGGTATAGGGTGCCCGTTGCGGCCCATCAGTTTGGGTCATGACAAAAGTGGTATTAGAGCAGCTCTGTCCTTGGGAGTCTACAAGCCATGTCTAGTAGAGTCTTGTTTATGGGTGTGTCGTGCACCACACTTATAAGCAGGAGGCTACAGGGCATTTAGGACTGTCACTCTTTCTTCTTACTCTAGATCGTGTGGTAGAGCTCACTTAAAAGAATTCAAGTCCCGAACTTCTATTCGTAATAAGATGATTCCTACATTAAGAAATACGATCGATAAGAGATAAAACTGTGGAATTATTGATTTAGAGGAACTCGGTTTTGCATCTTGATTATGATAAGTAAATGTGAGGTCTTTAGAAATCATGTGTGTACTGAAAGGTGTAAGCCTCTTGATAAGGGACCTTAAGGAAAGAATATTTATCCACCTTTATGGTAAAAAACAATGCTTTTAAGAAGTAAAAGAAGCAAGGTGAAGAAGGGTACGAGGCGCCCAGTTAATGAAGATTATCGGTATTACAGTTCTGGTAGAAAAAATATAAGCATTAAAAGTTACCCTCAACAGTAACAGAGATATGTACAATTGGCCATACCCATCTCAGTTATGCCCCATGGGGGCTAACAAGTGTAGTTTAAGAAAAGGTCGGAACATCAGGACCTGGCTGTAGTTAGAGTAAACCAAAATGGTGAATGGATTGTTTGTGTTACTTGACATTTCCAAAGGATATTGCAAGTGTGCTAGTAGATCTCCTTGTAAGACACATAGATGGTGCACCCTAAAATATGAAAGCTAGATATGAGCACTAGAAGCCTTGAAGGAATAAATATTACCTTAGTATGGCTCCCGCCCCCCGTAAAGAAAGAATGTTAGGCAATTGAAAGAGCCAAGGGATAGAGCAAGGGGAGCCAAAGGCAAAAGAATGTTTTGTTCGAGTTTTTAGAATAAACCAGTAGACATAGATAATTAGCAGGATATAAGAAGAGAGTTAATAAAGCATTATGAGTAAGATATGATACACGAATGGTAATGGTAGGTCAAAAAAAATGATGACCGTATTACAGAATTTACAATCAAATGAAGGGAAAGACAAAACATGACACGCCTTGAGACTCATTAAGAATATAGGCCATAAAGTCATATCCTTACTTCGAGAAATAAGTTCGCAACTCTAACGCAATTACCAAAAGGAAAAATTAGACCCTAGAGTAATAGAAGCCAGTATGGATTGGTGAGCAAGATAAACTAAACATGAAATAGGGATTGAGTGAGTTGATAATAGTCGGCATCATAAGAATTTCATA